GCAGGGACAGACCATCTGAACTGCTTTGGAACAAGAATAGACATGTTCATTAAAATATTTCCTTTTATTGTAAGTATTTCCACAATGGCGACACTTATATGAAATAGAATTTAAGCCATCTAGAGATTCCAATAAATGAAAAATTCATACCATTATCCTTCGATTTGGTGACGGAGAAGTCCAACTCTGAAATGCTAAAAGAACGTTGAGAAAAAAAAAGAGTTTACCGATGAAGTGTTTCGTTTACACCTAAAGGCTGTTATTAAAATAAGATACTAAAATGAACAACATACAGCGCTGACATCTCCATCTAAAGGTATCAAGCTATTGAGAAAATTCGCATTTCCATTGGAAAAATGTGTCAAACTTTCGTTGCCTGAGGCTAGGAATAGATTGGCATAAAGCACATTAGCTTACAAACACGCGTGGTAGACAATCTCTTGATCAGAGCCATCTGAGCAGGGGCAACATTTTTGATCCCGTGAAATGCAGAGTAATGGAGCGTTAGGTTTTTGGCCTCTTTGCCCTTAAAGGAGCAAAATATGCAACAATATAGCGTATCATCAGCGCAATTCACAGTCTCCAGGGTGCTTCTATAAATGCAAAATATAGCCAACTGGAGAATGATGCCAAAATGGAATACTTCTTTTCCCAGGTGTGCTAGGGTCGCGTGCTCAATCAAGATGGCTGAGGACGTAGAAACAAGCTGGCAGTATTTACACTGGTAAAGGTCAAAAGTGCAAGAGCTATTTGGATGGGTCTGTTTAAAATGTTCGAGTAAATTCGCTATAATAAGGGTTTGGAACGGACAATTAGGACAATTGAGAACAAATATATCCTTTTGGTTAAGTACGGGACATTGCATCTCTTAGATGCATCGATATGGCTAAAGTGCTGAGTTTAAACTGGAAGGCAAAATACAAATGTGCCGAGCGGCGGATAAAAAGCAAAACGAACAATGCATGTACACAAGACTTTATCACTAAATATTTTTAGTTAAAATTTTAAATTACTTTTTTAACTCTTGGGTTGAGGATAGGTTTATTTTTTGGGTGCAATTAACTTTAAACTACCTATATTAATACAATTTCCTATGACGATTCCCCAAAATATTATGTGAGTATGCCCGAGCATGATGATACTGTCGAGATACTTGCTGACGATTCCGAAGATCGGAGTAGCACTCAACGTCCGTCCACCTCACCATTCTCTAGTAAAAGCATTTGTTTTCTTCTAA